CTTCTTTAATGTTAGCAAAAATATTCTTGAAAAACTTTTTATTCCACCAGTTTAAAACCTGTTTAAGTCTACTAAGTTTAGACAAAAGTCTAGACATGCCTTTAATATCATTATTAGGAAGAACAGGAGCATTCCAGTTAACTTTAATAACATTTTTGAAATCCTCATGAGTAAGCCACATGTTTTGAAATCTAAAAGACGGTTTACCAACTCTACTAGTAGCGTAGATATTAATAAGTAAGGGGCAATGATCAGACAGCATTTTAGTAAGATGTTCAACAGAGGTGTTAGAAAAAGAATTAAGCCAATCATTATTGAAAAGGATTCTATCAAGCCTTTGCCAGATTTTAGAACGATTCCAAGTAAAAGCACTACCAATGAAACCAATATCATTCAGGTTGCAATTAGAAATAACCGAATTAAAATCCTCCATAGCATTAGCATTAGGCAAGTTACCTCCTCTTCTTTCAAAAGCATTGGAAATAATATTAAAATCTCCACCAATACACCATGGACCATTAATATTGCTGGCAAATTGGCGGATTTGGGACCAGAGAGGAAAGCGATTCATCTAGTTGAAGTAGCATAAACAAAAGAAGCATAGCAAGTATAGTTAAAAATATCAATTTAAAAATGGATAATTTGAGGATGATCCTCTAACACCTTAATATTAATATTATTCTTCCATAAAATCTAAATTTTGTTGGAACAATTAGCAACATAATTAGGGAAACCAATTTTAGAAGCAATAATACCAATTTTATCTTTGGAAATAAGAGGTTCAATCAAAACTAATAACCAAATACCATGAATTCTAGATAAATTACAAGTTCTAGCAATAGAATTCTTTCCCCCAATGCCTCTAACATTCCAAATAAGAGCTTTAATCATTAAGACATTTGTAAGAATTTTGAGCACGGGTTGTCCGAGGAGTAGTGGGTTGAGAGTTTTTAGCATTTTTGACTTTCTTTCTTACCACTTTAGTAAAGTTCTCATCACCACTATTTTGGGATTGAATCTTATCATGTGTAGAGGAGGAAGGTAGGTTTGAAGATAGTATAGCATTTTTCATCACATTTTGAACAGCAACAGGAGAATCATTACTTACAAGGTGTTGAGCCTCTTGCTCAATATTTTGTTCACTATTAGAAGGAGGAATGAATTCCCCTTCTTCACACGCAACATCACTACCTTCACTGATAAGTTCTTCTTCACTAGCAAAGTCATTTGTAGGATCATTCAAAATCTGATCTGTACTAGTCGTAGAAGCCAATTTAGCATTATCAACAATATTAGAATCAAAATCTTTAAGCATAGAATCAACAGAAATAAATAATTTAGGATCCGAAGGCTCATTAATGTTAACATCAGTAATAATGTTATCCTTTTCTATATTAGCATCCAAAACCGTAGTGTTAACTTCATCAAGTAAAGGATTAGCATGGATAACAGTATTTTCAGAAATAGGCGACAGAGTTTCATTTTATAAACTTTTCCTGTAGGAATGAAAACTTGTCCAGATTTATTTCCAACCAAAGCAGAAGGTTTTTTCAGTTCAGGGTGGAGTTTAAAATAATCCACCGCTCCGTGGCCATGTATTCTACAGTGAGTGCAGAAATCTAGAATTTTTTCAAATTCAACTTTTTGCAAATAACCATACGCTTTGGATCCAACCCAAACCTCCTTAGAATGTTTTTTCGTAATATCCACTTCAACTAAAATTCTTTCCATAGAGGGTCTAGTCCTAGATGCTGTAGCTTGATCAATTTGTAAAGGTCTACCAAAAATTGAACCTAAAGCATGCAAAACCTTCAGATTAAAGAAATGCAGAAGAAGATTAGGAAACGAAATCCATATCGGAACTATAGGTGATTCCTCCTTGATATCAAAAAAAGGCGTCCATTTTAGAATTCTCATTTGACAGTTAAAAATAAAGTAAGATCTCTGGGCAAATATCCTACTATAATCAAGATCGTTAGAAAGTTGTATGGCAACATGACGAGAATCCAAAAGACCAATAGAAAAAAAAACCCGATAATTTTAATTTCGTGAAAAAGCTGCGAATAGCATCAAGATTAGGTCTGTTAAGACCAAATTTACCAACAAGCGTAAACTGGAAAGGAGATGCTAATTTAAGCACATCTTCATCCGATAAAAGTACTGCGGGAACGCCATTAAGAGTAGATTGAGATAGAGTTGGAACGGTATCACCAGATCCAGCAAGAACATCTTTAAAAGAACGTGATTTAGTCGGAGAAACCTCCCCCGCTTCCAGATTAAAGAAGCCTTTGGGCGGTAGAAGACGATCCTCAGTTTTAGGCCCCCACGCTATGGGGGTTTGAGCAGCAGACATCCCACGACAGCCCAAAAGGGCTCAAACCGAAAGAGAAGAGTACAATAATGAAGGTTTAAGATTCTAAACACAGAGTAGTGAAAAGAGTAAGCCGGAGGAGGAGGAGGAAAAGCGGGGCGGAGAAGAAACCCAAAATCGCCAGGCGGCGGGGTTAGGGTTTTTTTTATTGATATGATCTAGGGTTTCTCCTTACTGCATCTATTTTGACTTGTGTCCCTTCTGTCTCTCTAGAGAGCTCTTGGGCCTTTAAAGTAAAGGAATCTTGTACACCCATCTTATGAAAGTTTCTCTTAGCCCTTTCTCTGGTTGTCGTCTACTTTTGTTGGTATTTGGTCAGCTAAATCTTGTTCTTTTTGTTTGAACTGTTCTTTCGTCTTCTTATTTTTTAACTTGATTGTCTTTTGTTCGATCATGGGTGGTAAAGTCAGTAAGATTTCCAATCCAGGATATTTTTCCTAGAAAAAAATTTCGTTCTTTTAAAGATGCATTATCGGGTGATTCCCCTTCTTTCTTTTTCTCGGATCTTAGAGCAACTTCCCACGGTAGTTTGAATGCTCTATAGATGTCTGAGGAATAAATTGAAGCTCTAGCTATCCTTTTCTATTTTGCTTTGGTTGGAAAGTTCACTACCAGTAAACATAAGCCTGGCCTTATTCAAATTGTTTCTTTAAACTTAAGCTTATTATGGAGTTCTTTATCTGTTTGATTTTACATTGGTTTGGAAGTTCACTACCCATAGACTAGCTTGACCTTATTTAAATTTTTTTAAAAAACTTAAGATTATTGTGGAGTTCCTTGTTATGGTTATGTACCCTTGACATATTTTAATTATGCTTTCAAATGATCATGATTATTCATAGATTTTAGTATGTCTATAATTGTTATATAAAACTTATCAAATGGACTACTTTGTTTGATATCTCTTTGGAATCATCTACTATTTCAGTTTGGTTATCATTTCCTAATTTTCGACCTCATATATTTTCTCTTCATCTTCTTCATGGTTTGAGTTCTTTATTTGGAAGATTGTTATAAATAGATAGTGCTACAGCTAACGGCGCACGACCTTATATTGCCATGGTTTTAGTTGAGCTTTATATATTCACATAATATCAGAATAGTGTTTGGATTAAATAAAAAAAAATTGTTACATGAAAAAACTTGTCTTGGAGAAATTTCCTTAACTCTTTGATCACCGTAAAACTTTAGTCCATGGGAAGATTGATTTTTTTGTATTATACCCTCAACTCTAGAAAAATAGGCTTTTATCCCAAATTTTCTTTTAGAGTTGCTAAACTAGATAGTCTTGCTGCCACTAACAGCTCCTTCAGTTCTCGTGCCTAGCCATTGCGCTCTGAGGAGATTTGCAATTTTGTGGCGTCCTCGTGTTCGACTTTCGGGTCACCTTCGATCCATTTTCTCCGGTTTTCTTCGGCGACCTTCTTCATCTGTTCCTTTGGTAACTTCATTCCTCTCCTGGCCTCTATTTCCTTTGGGTTTTCCTTCTTCGCTTCCCTATTTTGTTTTTCCGTCTGTGGTTTTGTGTTTCCGATGGTGTTCGGGGGGGGGGGGGGGGGGGGGGGGGGGGGGGGGGGGGGGGGAGATGTCGTCTCTTATGTCATCCATCCCGCTTGTTACTTCGGCCCCGACTGGTAATTCTTATTCCTTCAAGGATATGGTGTCGGGTGGCTCTTCCTTCGCGACTCCTATGGTTAATTTTATGCATTCCTCATTTAATTGTTGTCCAGCTTTATTGTTTGAGGATTATGTTGTCTCCCAGCTTGCTGCACCATTTGCATTCACTGTTGTAGGTAAATTTGTCTTATTAAGGCCAAATCTAGATGTGATTCGCAAATTTTTTCTTGCCCTTAAACTCTCTGGATCTTTTAATGTGGGTTTTTTTGGATCCTCATCACATTGCTATTCAACTGACTAATTATTTGGATTATAGTCGCATTTTCTCATGGCGTTCATACTATATTCATGGTTGTCAAATGAGGTTGCTTAAATGGTCACCAGATTTTGATGTGAGGGAGGAGTCTCCAATTTCCCAGTGTGGATTGCATTTCCTAATCTTCGTTTACATTTTTTTAACATGCATATCTTATTTGGTTTGGATTCTATGTTTGGTAGACCCTTACAAACTGATCAAGCAACTGCAACTTTATCTAGGCCTTCTGTGGCACATGTCTTGGTTGAAATTAATGCCTCAAAAAAGCATCCTCATGAAATTTGGCTTGGATCAGAATTGAATGGCTATTTTCAAAAAGTTGATATTGAAAATTTACCTATCTTTTGCTCACATTGTAAGAAGCATTAACATGGGATTAATGAATGTTTTCGTTTACATCCTAACCTCCGTATGGAGAAAGTGTCCTCTAAATCTAATCCTGGAGGGGATGACATGACTTTAGCTTAAAAAGAGGTTGGTAATGGTTCTAAGGATTCGGTGGATCATAATGGTGATCAGGTTGTGGAGGTTCCTTTGGCTAAGGACCTGAAAGAGAATTTAATTAGTATTGCTTCTCTTATTAATGTTCCTAATCCTGATAAGAATTCTATTATTCCAACTATTAATGAGAATGGTAATATTGATCCTGATTTTAATTGGACCCCTCTGTGTCCAATCTTGCTCTTTTAAATGAGGCTAAAGTGGATCTGTGTAAGCTTCAAGTTCAGGAAGAAATCTTTTGAAAGCAGAAAGCTGCACTCAAATATTTAGTGGAAGGTGATAATAACACTAGATATTTTCATGCTTTGATTAATAAGAAACGGGCTATTAATCGTATTCATAAAATTGCTCGGGAGGATGGATCTGTTACTGAGAATATCGATGAGATTGCTAATCTTGCTGTTAATTTCTTTCAAACTCTTCTCATCAAGTCTTTTACTCCTACTCCTTTTCATGATACTTCTTTTATCCCTAACTTAGTTTCTCAAGAGGATAACTGTATTTTATCTAATTGTCCTCTTATTGATGAAATTAAAGAGACCTTGTTTGACATGAATGCGAATTCTGTGGCGGGTACGAATTGTTTCACTACTAAGTTTTTCCAAAAAACTTGGCATATTATTTCTAATGATATCACTTCGGCTGTGATTGATTTCTTTAATGGTACTCCTATTCCAAAGTTTTTTTCCTCTACTTCGATTGTCCTTATTCCTAAGAATAATGCTATTAATTCTTGGAATGATTTTAGACCCATTAGTCTATGCAATATTTTTTATAAATTACTTTCCAAAATCTTGATGAATCGGCTAACTTTGCTTTTGCCTAAACTCATATCTCCTTACCAAATGGGTTTTGTGAAAGGGCGTGCCATTTCTGATAATATTTTGCTTGCCCAGGAATTTTGGCATGACTTGGATGTTAAGGTCAGAGGTGGTAACATGGTTTGGAAATTGGATATTGCTAAAGCATATGATAATATTAACTAGTGTTTTATTTATAAATGTTGAGCTTATTTGGCTTTGATGATAAGTTCATTTCTCTTATCAAAGCTTGTATTGAAAGTCCCCTTTTCTCTATTATTGTGAATGATAAGAGTCATGGTTTCTTTAAAGCCTCGCATGGTCTGAGACAAGGTGATCCCATTTCTCCTACAATCTTTATTATTGCAGCGAATTACCTATCTAGGGGTCTTATGGATCTTTTTCTCAAATGTCCTAGTCTTTATTTTAGAACTTTAGGTGGCATTAAAATTTCTCATTTATTCTTTGCTGATGATTTTATTGTGTTTTCGAATGCTTCTAAGAATAAGATTGTTAAAATTTTAAATTGTTTTGATTAGTTTGAATCTGTTAGTGGTCTTGCTTTTAATAAGAATAATTGTTGTTTTATCATTGCCAAAAATGTTCCTTTCGCCCCGGGTTTTGGATATTAAGGACCTGACTGGTTTTTCTCAAGCTTTTTTGCCTTTGAAATATTTGGGTATTCCACTTTTTAAGGGTAGGAAGAAGTCTTTTCTGTTTGATGATTTAATTTATGTTATTCAAAATAGGCTTTCTTCGTGGGATTCGAATTTTTTAAGCTTTGGTGGCCGTCTTATTCTTATCAAAAGTGTTATCTCTTCTATTCCAGTTTATAGCTTTCAAACTATTTTTCCTACCAAGTTGGTGTGCAATCGTATTGATAGAATTTTTAATAAATTCTTTTGGAATGGTACTAGTAATTCTTCTAAGATTCATTGGACGTCTTGGACTAATTGTTATGGATCCTTGCAAGAAGGGGCCCTTGGGTGTAAGATTATGTTTGATTTGGCCTCTTCTTTTTCTTTTAAATTATAGTACAACTTTAGATCTAATATGAGTCTTTGGGCCAATTTTATGATGGCCAAGTATTGTGGGGGGATTCATCCTTCCAGGTGCTATTTCTCCAAAGGCCAGTCTAAGGTGTGGCATCGGCTTTGTTTGGTTAAGTGGAAAGTGGAGCCTTCTTTAGTTTGGGGGCTTGGGGAAGGTAATATTTTCTTTTGGAAAGACAGTTGGGTTAATGTCCATTCTTTGGATTCCTTTTTTAACACTTTTTCCATTGATAATATGATGGTTAAATTTTTCTTTTCTAATAATGGGTGGGATTTGGAGAAGCTTACTGATGTTATTCCTGCATTTATTGTTTAGGTGATTCTTAATATTCCTCTTAATTTCACCTCGAAGGATGTTTTACTTTGTACTTTTCTAAAGATGGGCTTTTTAGAATTAAGGATGCTTGTCATTCTTTTAGAAGTAAAAATGATCCTACTAAGAATTTTAAAATGATTTGGCATAAGAGCATTCCCTCTACGATATCTATTTTTATTTGGAGAGTTCTCAAAAAGTACATTCCGATAGATGAGATGTTGAGGAAATGTAGCTTTATTATTTCTTCTAGATGCCAATGTTGTTTCCATGTTGAAATATGCACCACGTTTTTATTTCGGGCCACATTGCTGTGAATGTTTGGTATTTCTTTGAGGACTTATTTCAAATTAACTGTTATAGTTCTAATATTTCTATTCTCAACTTGCTTGATGGTTGGTTAGTTAGGAATAAAGATCAAATTTGGAATCTGATTCCTGCTTTGATTCTTTGGTTCCATTGGTTGGAGAGAAATGATTCCCATTTCAACGGGATTGCTATGAATCATTAGAGAATCATTCAAAAAGTTAAGGATAAGGTCACTACTCTTTTTTCTACCAAATTACTCTCTTTAAAAGTTTTTAAGCATTCTCCTTTTACTCTTGAGGCCTTTGGTATTACCTTGGATGGTGCTAATTATCAAATGTTTTCTACTAGTATTAAATGGTGTAAGCCCTTCCCTAACTATTTTGAGTTAAATGTGGGTAGTGTTTATTTGGGAAATAAGTCTTATGTGGGTGTCCTTATTAGAGACCATAATGGTAATTTATTTTGGGCTTTGCTAGTATAGTTAACGGGGGTAATAGAAATGGGGCCCTTTTGATTGTTGTTCTTCATGGTTTAAATATCTGTGTTACTCTTCATATTCATAATATTGTTTTGGAGGTTAATTCTTACTTTGATTTAAGCTTTATTAGTTTGGAGGATAGCTCTTGCTCTCATTTCCTTCTCTATATTAGGAGGAGTATTAGGGAGTTCTTGGTCTCTCTTAACTACTCTATTTCGACCATCTTGGAGGAGGGCAATGCCTATGCTCAAGCTTTGGCTAAGTTGGACAGCAATTATTCTAATATTATTGAGTTCTCTTTACACCAATTGCCTATCCCGTTCGAAGGTCTGATTAGATTGGATCAAAGTGGGTTACCATATGTTAATGGCTAATTTTTTAGGCCTCCTGTTGTTCTGGTGGTTGTGTTCCCTTCTTTTAACTGTGTTCTATTTTTTGGCTTGGCCCCTCTCTGATTTTAGAGGGATTAGTCTGCTACTGCTCTGGTTTTCTTTTCTTTGTTTGGGCTCTGTCTAGCTTTATATTTATGCAGTGAATTTTTCTTTTGCTTGAGTTATCTTTTCTCTTGGTGGCATGAGATGAATGTGGCTTTCCTTTGCCTAGGGAACTGGCATTTTCCTAGTGCTATCCCGGATGTGCTGGTTGATGTTCGGGATTGCTGGACTGGTGGCTTTTTGGTGGTGCTGCTTATTCGTTTGCCTATTAGTTGGTTTGAGATTTTCAGTTCCCTAGAGTTGTGGCTTCTTGTTGGTTTGTTGGAGGTTTTCATCTTAGCCGGGGGTCTGGCTTATTCTTTGCAATTTTGTTGGATTGTTTAAGCGGGTTGGCTGGAATGGTTGTTTCTTGTTGGTGAGCTAGAGGATTTTTTCTGTGCCGTGGTGTTGGCTAATCTTTGGCTAGTTCGTTGGATTGTTTTGGTGGTTCCCAGGTTTCTGAACACTGGTGTGTCATTGTTGTTGGGAGATGTGGTTTGTTTTCCGTAGTGCTGCAGTTCCTTTCTTGCTTTTGGTCTCGTTTGGATGTGAGGTCCCTTCGGCTATATCCTTTTTCGAGTTTACCAAATATTAAGTTTATGAGCTCTATTTTCTATAAGTTATGTTCTTTTTCTTTTGTATATCAGCTGAGTTTGCAGGTTCATTTTTGGCCGATAAAGTGGAAGACTTTCTTGGAGACCTTTACCTTGGAGCATTTTGGCTATTTTTTGTTTACTCCCTTTTTTTGGGTGCTTCTCCCTAAGCACCGTAGCAAGTTATTAGGTTTGTCTGTACTATTTTCCAGCAGGGAACTCGAGTTCGTAGTTTTCTTTTTTCTTTATTTTTGTAGCTCTTTAAGCAGTAGTGAGATTGAGTTCCCCTTAAGGACTTGTAATATTTTTCTTAATTAACGCGTAGGCCCCTTCTGTGTGTTTCCAAATAAAAAAAGTCTTGCTACCACTACTGTTGTTATTGAAACTGTTAATGATCTTCTATTGGATGTCAATAAGAATCCTGATTTGATTATCCATGGAATTCTTCCTTCTGCTAATGTTGGCTCTGCAAACTATTTAGGGAGCGTTGTTACTTCTTTTCCTATTATTCATACACTTTGGTTATTTTAGATGTCCAAAACTATAATCTAATTGATCTTATGGGTTAGGAAGTTTATCCCTCTAATGGTTTGGATTTGTCCAATCTTGTGCTTATAATTTGTATTAATAATTCTCCTATCTTTGATGGAGTGAATCCAAATAAAGTTGAGGTGGTCGAGAAATTGGATATTCAATCTGATAAGGATTATGATGACAATTCTAATAGAATGAGCCACGCTAGTCAGTTTGCCTCCAATTGGGAAGAGGGTGAAATAAATTTTGTTCATGATGAATGTAACTTTAATATTGTTCAGAATATCGGAGACTTGAATGTAGTGCATTTTTTAAAAGTTGATTTTTTCTTATTTACTAAAAAAATAAGAAAGCTCTAAATTATACTCATTATTATGCAAGAGTTTCTAAATCCAATGCTAATTCTAAGTTAACTATCAATTATTAGCATAATTTTAGGGAATATTAAAGGTGTAAGGAAAATTAACAATCATTCTTGTATTCATAACAGTTGTATAATTAACAAATTTTTTTCTTGGCCCTTTTGAAACCTATGGTTGATGTATCTAAGATTATTACTTATGATCAAAATCAATTGGGTTTAGAATTTTGCTATGCTAACGCTAATGGTGAAATTTAGATCTTTTGGAAAAAAATATTATTAATTTATCCATTGTAAGTGATTTTAATTAAGTGTTGCTTTGTACTTTATCTTTGTATAATTTCTCTATAATGGGATCCTTTATTTATGCTAGTAGTTATAAAATTAGTAAAATTGAATTCTCAAAGAATATTCAAATTTTCAATAATATTATCAAGATCCATGATTTATTGGTGGGGATTTTAATATTATCGTAAATGCTATAAAGAATTGGGAGGGTTTCCTCCTAATATATTTTTTATGGATGATTTTAATAGTTCTATTCTAGATTTTTTTTTTTGAGAAATGCTAAAAATGCATAGAAAGGGAAAACAAAGCCTAATTACAAACTACTAAATGTATGGAATTCTTACACACTCTTGCTTTACCATGTTACACAAGGAAGACGATAAATCATTCTCACAAAACAATTGCCAAATAAAATCAGAAGAAAAAGCATGATTAGCACAAAAATCTACTAATATAATACAACTACGTTTCACCCAATGAAAAATCACATTATTTACCTTATTAAGAAAGAAAGAATCTTCAATCATCATTCTTCTATCCATATTCTTCGGTATACTGTGCATGTTATGAAGAATATCAATAACATTCTTATTGTCACCTTCTACTACAATGCCTTCAACTCCATGAAATCTGCCCTGTAAAACTTCCTTCAAATCTGTAATGGCTTCCATCTCCAATTGGGCTATGTCCCAATGCATCTTCTTTCTCCCAAACGCAAGTAAGAACCTTCCTTTGCAATCCCTTACAATTCCTCCAATATCAGCCTCATAATTTCCCTTTAGAGATGCATCGATGTTGATCTTGATCCAACCGGGGGGAGGAGGTTGCCATTTATCGAAAGATAACCCAAAGGGCTGATTAACAACCCAGTTACCCGATTGAATAATATGAGAACGATCCTGGCTAATAAAACTGAGAATGGATATAGCAATGAACACATTGCTTTCTTCAGGATCTTCATGCTTAACCTTGTTCTTGTGGTTCCAAACAAACCAAATAACAGTAAAATACATTTTTATCAACATCAAATTACCATTTTTGTGCCACTTGAGATCCACCAAACATTCACACCATCCACTGTAAACAGGAATTTGAAATCCCCACCCTCTCAGCACATCAAGTACCTTCCGTAATTTGCAACAGTAGGTAGTAATATGATTGCAATCTTCCACTACATCGCAGCCCAATGGACACAATGAATCATCAGCAAGTTTCCTTTTACAGAGGAATTCAGCTGTAGGCAAAGCATTCGAGAACAGCCGCCGTAAGAACACCTCAAGCCTATCATTCAGCTTCAATTTATATACCCATTTGAATGGAACAACACCACCCAGGTTCTTATACCTTTCTTCCATAATTATAGCCGAGGTAGACTTCCCAGACATATTAAACTTCAGCTCCATACTATCTCCAGACAGACAGGGATAAATCTGAACCATACATATGAGATATACAAGATCAGTCCCAAAGAACTGCTTGAGTTTCATCCGATCCCAGCTTCCACCCGTGATGAAACAATCCAGGGTAACATCTTCATCCTCAAATGTAGCAACAAACGTAGGCCATCTGATTAGAGCTTTGTCCAAAATCCATATGTCCTTCAGCACACTAATTCTAGTTCCATCAGCCACTTTCCATCTAACAATTTCCCTGATAGCATTCCACCTTGAAAACAAGATCTTCCATGTGCTGGAACTCCTCCCATACAGCCGGTAATTCCACCAACTTTCCCCATTCTTAGCATTGAGTTGTCTGCTTAACAAAGAATCAGGATTATGAATCAACTTCCAAGTAAATTTAGCTCTCATAACATCCCTTCTTTCCATAGCTGATTGAACACCCCAACCTCCATACTCTTTCGGCTTACAAACATGATCCCATGCCAAGTAATGAAGACCTCTTTTTCCATCACATTTATTCCATATGAAATCTCTACAAATCTTATCAAACTCCAATAAAGTACTCATTGGAATAAGAGAATGAGTCATGGTATAAATCGGAAGAGAAAGAAAAACAGATTTAACCAAAACCATCCTACCAGCAAAGGAGACAAACTTGTTACCCCAAGCATTGATTTTTTTACAGGAATTATCCAATAAACACTGAAAATCAGCCTTCCTTAAACGTCTCAAAGGCAACTTAATGCCCAAATACTCAAACCCATCAACAAGCTTAATACCCATGAATATGGAAATCTGAATTCTCCTCCTCCTGTCCACCGAATTACCACACACCAAAGAAGTTTTATGGTAATTAATATTTTGCCCAGTCCACTTACAATAATCTTCCAATATCTTTCTCACTTTCTTCATAACGTTCCCTTTAGCTTCAAAAAACAACAAAATAGCATCTACAAACAACATATGGGAAATCTTCTGAGCATTAGTAGACAATCTAATACCCACCTCATTACCCCTACTACGAAATGCGTTGGAAAGAAGTTGTGAGCAAAGAATAAACAGAAAGGGTGACAGAGGACACCCTTGGCGAAAGTCACTCTTCCCTTCAGTCCACCCAGAATTAGATCCATTAATCACAATAGAAAATCTTGGATTAATAATACAATCCATTACCAAATGAACAAACCTAGAAGGGAAACCCAATTCAATCAACATTCTCTCCAAAGTAGCACAACACATGCTATCATATGCTTGTTCCAAGTCCACCTTGATTGCCAAGAATCCATTGCTTGCTTTGGAAAACCTTAGCTTATTGAAAACTTCCCGAGCTATAAGAAGATGATCAGAAATAGACCTACCCTTCACAAAAGCCACTTTTTCTTCAGAGATAATCTTGGGCATAATCTCCACCATTCTGTTGAGCGAGATTTTAGCAACATTTTATAAATCGAATTGCATAAACTGATAGAACGGTATGCTGAGGGAGTATTGGGATTAGAAGATTTAGGAATCAACACAACTAAAGTGTCTTTCCAATCCCTATTCATCGAACCAGTTCTGAAAAACTGCTGAACAACCCTCACTACATCCACTCTAATGATCTTCCAATAAGCTTTGAAAAAAGAATAGGAAATACCATCAAAGCCTGGAGCTCTGTTATTTCCCAAATTCAAAATAACTTCACTGATTTCAGCTTCATTCAATTCTCTGTTCAGCATTTCCTTATCACTATTCAGTAAGGAAGTCCACGGTTTTGGCCATCCAGTAAAGCTGCAGGACCTAGATTCCCATTTCACCTGAAAAAATCTCATGAATTCCTCCTCAATCGTTCCTGGATCATCTGACAACTCCCCATTAGCATCCTTTACTTGAGAAATCCAGTTGATATTCCTCCTAGAATTTGCAAAAGAATGGAAAAATTTGGTATTTGCATCACCATCTTTAACCCATTTAGCTTTAGCTCTTTGCCTCCACCAAGTATTGAGATTATTCAGCACAACATTTAATTCTTTAACTTTAGCTTTAAGTAACCACAATTTATCCTCTTCCAACCATCCCAGCTTTGATTCTTCATCTTGTAAAACCGGAATTTCATCTTTCGATTTGTCTTTCTCCAAAGAGAAATTCTTCAATCTAGCCTTGCTCTAATAAAATAAGTCTTTCAATGTCTTCTTACATTTTTTATTAAGAACCTCCATGTCATCTCCCAAAAAAGGTCTCTTCCACCTACTAGAGACAATATACTCAGCAATCTTAAAAGCCAAGTATCTTCAAACTTTATTCCACTTCTACCTTTACAAGACATCTCAAACATCTTAAGAACAATTGGACATTGGTCCGATGCAACTCTAGCAAGATGTTTAACCACTGTGATTTGGATTTTGTTTAAGGACAAGGTATTAAGAACACACCTTTCAAGCCTTTCTAAAATCCTCCCTCTACCACTCTTATTATTGCACCAAGTATACCATGGTCCCACAAAACCAACTTCATGATAATCATTCTCATTCATGAATTTCATTATGTCCAAGGAGCCTTAATTAGTTTTAAATCTCCTACCACCCTTCTTATCCTCTTGTGACAAAATACAATTAAAATCCCCTCCAACAATAGAAGGAATATCTCTATTGGAAGCCTCCTGAACAACCTCCCAGAGATGCCTCCTCTTCACTGTCTCTTTGCTAGCATAAACAGTAAAAACCATCCAAACACCTTTGTTGAAAACATTTAGATCACTAATAACACATTGATCTGAAGTTTTCAAAACAGAAAAGGACATCAAATCTGACTTCCACAGTACCATAATACCACCAGAACGCCCTTCAGAAGGAAGAATGAAATAGTCCCAACCAAGCCCCATCATTCTTACAAACAAATCCTTCTCCATAGAAGAAATTTTAGTTTCAAGCAACCCTACAAAGAAAATTTTATAGTCTTTAACAATCTCCTTTAAGTAGAGGAAAGCCTCCCTCTTTTTGGCTCCCCTACAATTCCAAAAAATAATGGATTCCATTAAATTTGTTTGGGGGAAGAGCCCCCACCTTTCTTCTTTGAACCACCATCCACATATCTACCTCTTGAGCTAATTTTAACAGGGCCCAAAGCTCTAAGCTCTTTAGCAAGCTTACGCTTCACCAAATATCCACTGGAACCAGCTTCTTTTTCTAACCTTCCAATAAGAAAATTTCCCTCAAACCCCTTATCACCTTCAGCAGCAATAGGTCTTCCAAATACAATATTAACTCCTGCACTACCACGTCCTCCAGAGACTTTTTTAATACAAGCATCCTCCATCCCATCCTCTTCCACCCCATCCAACACAGCAATTTATTTAAACAAACATGAACAACAGGGTTAATAGCAGCAGGAATCATACCAATGATCTTAGATGGCTCCTCTGACGATCCAGCAATCTCTTGAGCAGAATTAATCACCAATTCTGAATCCCTTCCAGTAGAATTCTTACCCACCTCATCAAGAATTTCTCCTTCCTCCAAATGAGTATCAGCAACAAAGTCTTCCACCTTGTCACTATTTCCATTATCTAGAGTAATTTTCCCAATCAAATCATCATGTGCTCCATCTCTTTTCACCCATTGTTTCTTCCCAGTAAAAGGTTTTTCCTGTTGGGTAACCGATTTCCTATTTACTTTCTTCTTAACCATGATCCGAGGACCATAAGTGTGATCTATCTTTTCTTCCTGAATCTCTCACATTTCCTTATTGCCCCTGGATATTTCCATGTTCAAATCAACTTCAGAATTCCCATAAGCCTTCAATCTGCAATCATGTTTGTGGTGACCCACCATACCACATCCATAGCAAAGAGTAGAAATTTTTTCATATTCAAATTTTTGATAGAATTTTCCAGAGATACTTTCAACCCAAGTTCCTGGAGGAAGACACTGGTCCAGTCTGACCCTAACACAGACTCTGGCAAACTCTCTCTTCCCCCATTAAAACATGTTTCCATCCATCATCAAAGGTTTACAAATGGAAGAAGCTATACGTGCCACATTCAATTCATCCCAGCACTGTAAGGGCAGATGTGGCATAAAGTTGAAAACTCTAAAGACCACTTATCCATCCCCACAATAGAGCCATTAATAAACCACGGCCCTCCTGATAAAACACCTTCCATCATCTCAGTTGACTTAAAAGAGCATAAAAACCATCCCCTCCCCAACATAGTAAAATGGAATTTCCCAAACAACTTCCACTGCCTACTGATTTCCCACGCTACTACATGAGAAGGAATCTCCTTTCCAAATACTTTGATAACCAACGAATTCCTAAGCTTCTGAGAATTCGCAACCTCATTATCTTCAACCAATTTCACAGTCTTACCATCCTCAGCAAAGACCTGATCCTCTTCATTGAAATTCAACCTGATATAAGGCTTCCTTTTCCACGGATTCCCCTCCAACTCAGCCAACTCCTTTACAGGCAATTTATCATCTATCTTGTTCACCAACTTCGAACCTCCAGAATCCAGTCTCGATAAGAATTGAACATTCCTGTTAATAGAAATATCAACATTCGCATTTATCCCATGCCTAAACTAGAGATTGCATTTGAATTGCTGAACCTGTTAACATAAATGTTAATTTCTGACAAAGTCGCCGCCAAATCCACAGAGTTTCCATCAGGAATTTTATTTAAAAACATAGGTGAGACATTAGCTTCATTACCAACAATATCCTTCCCTTTATCTTCTACAAACACAAATTTCTTGGACAAATCCATACCTCCATCCTTAATAATCAACTAGCGTGCGGGACGATCACCAGCATCACCCCCAAACATTATATGTCTAACACCACCCAGATCTTGATCACAAGAATCCCCTTTAACAAACTTACCATCAATCAACCTCGAAGCCGAATGGTGACCATCCAACGAGTTCACCACGATAAAACTTTTGCCAGGGTAAAATCCAGTACCTCCCCCTACATCAGATGGCCGGCGGCCATCCATTACAACCGGAAATCCAATTCCGCGAAGGACGGAATCAAAACCGTGAAAGAAAAAAATTCAAAAAAATTACCTTCTCTCTCTAGAAAACTAGAGTTTCTCTCTTTAGAAAACCGCCTTTTATGATAATATTTTCTATTATATTCTTGATTGTGGTCTAATTGATATAGATTTTTTGTGTCTTCTTATACTTGGTCTAATATTAATATTTGAGAAAGGCTTGTAGAATGCTTTTCAATAAAGAATTGATCCCTCTTTTTCATATTTCCTCGATAGAACACCATAGTAAAACTGCGTCTGATCAAGTTACTTTATTGTCTAAAATTCAGTATTATCATGGTAATGGTTTTTACCCCTTTTAATTCAAAATATGAGGCTTCAAGCTCCTGATTCTTTCTTTATGGTCAAGAAGAATTGATTAGCCCCTTCAACATATTTTCATATCAATAATGATATGATTTGTCTAGCCTTAAAATTGAGAAGACTCATGTAGCTAGATTATTAGATATTGGAATATGTATAGATTTGGAAATACTTTTCATAATATTATAAAACTAGAAGAAGTGGTTGTTAGACTTGAAAATATTAACTCCAATATCCCTTCTCATGATAATTGGGATCAATTGTGTAATGCCAAGACTAAGCTTATTAACTTTAAAGACTATGAGGAAACCTTTCAGAGGAAAAAAATTGCATCTAAATATGCTTTTAAAGGTGAAAGAAACACTAATTATTTTCGTTCTACTGTCAATAGGAGGAGAAAAAAACATTTATTAATAAAATTAAAATGGAAGATGGGAACTAGTGTGAGGGCTATAATAAGATTGGTGAGTATGTTAGCTATTTTATTTGTTTCTCAGTTATTTGGGTCTGAGAAGGATGATGAGCCTATTCCTTTTTATCATGTCATTCCCTCTTTAATTTCCAATGATGATAATGTTTTTTTTTCAAAATGTCCTAATGAGATTGATATTTTAACATCCCCGATGGATATGAATATTGATTTTGTTGCTAGACCGGACGGATTCACTACTTTGTGAAGGTTTGTTAGGGATGTTAGGCCCTTATGAAGTAGTCCAAGGCTAATTAAGAGAGTGGTGAATTGGTATATTAAAAAATATTTCACAATAAAAAATCCAAACCAAAATCCACCATAAATAAAACACAATGCGGAAATTAAATACGGAAATAATAAAGGAAAGAACACACCAGATTTATAGTGGTTTTGTCAAACCTTAACCTACGTCCACTCCTCAGAGGCACCCTCCGAGTATTACACTAAACTCAGTGTCTCTCCTTTAGCCCCCACAGCTAGGTGGAGAAGCCCTTATAAAATCACTTCCACCTTCCCCGGTGCAGCAGAGCAGCCGAGTCCTTTCACACCAAAGAGATCTTCTTCTTCTGAGAACTTCTCTCAAGACAAGCCTTGAATCTAATGGGACTAAGGTGAAAGCTCATCGGAGCAACCGTGTGGAATCCTCCTCCACACTCCCTTGAAATCCCCTCTAAGGGTCTTCTCCCTCTCACAAACTCCACCCTTTCCTCTCTCCATTTCAAGCTCTCTTTTTAAGTTACCTCCAAAAGAACGAAGATACCATAGCTGCCAAAGACATATACCAAGTGCCTTATTAAAGTTTAAATATAGGAGCTCAAAACGAGCTCTTTAATTGCAACTTGCTGACTTTATCGTCCAGGATGATATAAATATCATCCTGTACGATCAATGCAATTTAAGCCTAATCAGCCAGGATGAATTTGGACAATCAGAAGAAATTTGTTCATATCATCCAGTGTATTATTCCGTCTAATCTTGCAATTGTCCAGGATGATTTGAGCGTGCAATCAAGTCTTAATTGCTTTCCTTAAATATCAGATTAATTTAGGCAAAATTGTACTGGATCGGCCAGGATGATCCAGGACGATGCCCTGGATGATGTTCAAAAATAATTAATTCCTAAATAGATCTGGCAGCTGATTCTTTCTATTTTGAGCCTATTATCCTGGTCGATACAAAATCATCCAGGACGATGTGATATGATGGCTGCCATGGCTAAGATGCCCTAATAAGGGTTTTTTTTTACAGTTCATCCAGGATGGTATATTGATCATCCCAGACGATGTGACCAGCAATAGTAAACTCAAAATCTGATAGAAAAATTCTCAAGTGTGTGTGTGCATGGTTACAAAGCAAGCAAGCACCCCTACAGGACATGACTCAAGAAATAATAAATTACATAAAAGAGAATTACAAGTAAAAATAGTTCTCCCAAATCTTGAGCCTTGAGTGGAGCATCGTAGTCCTGAAAAGTTAGTATACACACAATTAAATATAAAATTCAAGTACAAATAGGCAGCAGAAAGTGAACCATAATATTTGTTATCATAAAATATATAAACTCGTAAGCTCGAGTTGCAACAATCTCCCCCTTTTTGATGATGGCAAATATTACTGGTTGAATTATAAAACTGAAAATATTTTTTCCTAATCTCCCCCTCACTAGAATATCCATAAAAAAAAATTATTTTAAAACAAATACAAATGCAAATACAAATACAAATATAACAGTACGTTCTCCCCCTTGACATTATCAAAAAGACAAGGAGCACAAACAATCAGGATAATAAAAAAATGATTAAAAGACAAAAAAATGATCCTTGATCAAGTAAAGACAAATTCAAATATTCTTAAAATGATAAAGTTACCTCTTGATTTTATTCAAAAACATAGAAGGATTGTATTGAAAATGCATAACCTAGAAAAGGTTAGAAATTTCAGAATTTGTTAATCCAAACTCAAGTTCTTTTAAAGGCTCAAAAACTTTTTAATTAAATATATAAATCAAGGAACAAATTAGAGAAAGAAACACTAATTACTCCAAAACTCAT